TATAAATGTTATTCTTATGTAATTTTGTTAAAACACTCATTGCTTATTTCCTTTCTCTTAAGATCAACTGAAATGATAGTGTTATTGTATGACAAATATTAGGTTGTTATCCTAATACATAACACCAAATAATAAAAACATCACTTTCATTTCTTTTGTTTTGCCTCATAATCTCAACATATTAAGAATGAGTCAGAATACTTTTAATGCCAATTTTATTCAACTTATTTCTATGGATTAAATAAGTGATGAATGTATTAGAACAACTGAATTGACTTATCCTATGTTTTAGTTATCAAATTCTTCATCATTTTTCGTTTTACAAAAATGTATTTATTCATTATGAGTTGTTTCTTTTTTTAATTAACTACCATTATAAGATTATTAATTCCTTGAATTGACTTCATTCTATACGTTTCATTCTTGGTGTTAAGAATATAGATATGCTAACACAAACTAAACAAGTATCTTATGGTGTGTTTCAAGTTTTTAATAAGAACCAAAGATGTAATTGTCTTTTGCTCAACTCAAAAAAAAAAACTAAATAAAAGAACTAAGAACATGATTTAGAATCCTTGCATTTCATTCATAAATAATGCTTGTCTTCTTTTCATTTCCTTCATAGAGTCTTTCAACATTAATACTGTTCCGTCGTTAGTTGTTATAATAAATGAGCCATCTTCATCATCAAGCATATGAACAGCAGTGATTTTACTATTTAATTTTCTGGTTTCTACGAATTTAAGAACATCATGTTTTTTTTCTTTAACATTTTCAAGAATATAAATTGTGCCACTTTCTGCTGTAATAGCTAAAATAGTAGAACCAGTAACATTGATTAGTTGAGTGACATCAACGTTATATCTTCCATAAGGCAAAGCAAAGACGTTGTCTATTCTTTTAGGTGATACATCAATGAGTTGGTCATTCTTTTCTTCCATTTGAACAATCCATCCACCATAAGCAAAATAGTATGTCACAGTATTATCCTTTGAGAATGATAACAAGGAATTAATATTAAATAAAGGTTTCTTTTGTTCTGTAGATTGAACTTGTAATCCCATAACTTGAAGTAAATTAAAATGAGAAGGTTCCCAAATAGCAACAATTCCATCACAAGATACAGTAATTAACTTATTATTAGCCATTTCAATAAGATCTACATCATCTATATGGGGTGAACTTCCTTCTTTTTCTAACTTTTTAATAAATTTTGAAGAAGATGGTTGTTCAGTGTTAATTTGATACACATAAATATCATTTGTTCTACTGATAAATAATAT